GTAGCTTATCAGTGGTGACTGTCAGTTAATGTACATATGGCAGAAATGTATGGAAAAATCATTTTAAGACGTAATAAAACAGACGATGAACACTATTAACAGCAATTATTATATGATGCAATCAAACTTATAGCAAAATGTGATAGTTCTGTATGTTGTTTCAGGTTTGGCATCATCTGAGGTCCTCTGAGGGGTTTGCATCATCTCTTCTCAGGTGCTCGGTCATCGCAGGTCTTTTTAAGGGCTGGATGCACACTGAAGCTTGTGTAATTCCTAGTTACCATGGGCAGAAACAGAGTAACAAATAGAGACATAATTAGCGTAGCTGCTGTTCCAAGCAAAAATGATTTGTTCAACCCAAGCTAAGGAATAATAATGTGCATTTGATCAGATATAACTGCAGTACAAGATTATGAGATGCATTGTTTGAATGCTTGGCTAAAGAGATGTGCCTTTAATCTAGATTTAAACAGAGACAGTGTGTCTGAACACCGAACGCTATCAGGAAGGCTATTCCAGAGTTTGGGAGCCAAATGCGAAAAGGCTCTACCTCCTTTAGTGGACTTTGCTATCCTAGGTACTACCAAAAGTCCAGAGTTTTGCGACCTTTAGGGAGCATGATGGATTGTAGAGTGGTAGAAGGCTAGTTAGGTACGCAGGAGCTAATTACATTTTTTTTACAGGAGTTACATTTTGTAACTGATACGGAACTTAATAGGTAGCCAGTGCAGAGACTGTAAAATTGGGGTAATATGATCATATTTTCTTGACCTGGTAAGGACTCTAGCCGCTGCATTTTGGACTACCTGTAGCTTGTTTATTGAAGATGCAGGAACAGGTAACATGTTTCGTAGCTTGGCAATGTTTCTAAGATGGAAGAATGCTGTTTTTGTAACATGGAAAATATTATTTTTGCTGTCTCATATATCACCCAGATTTTCGACTGTAGAGGAAGTAACAGTACATCCGTCTAGTTGCAAACTGTAATCCGAGAGATTCTGTGTACTGCTTTCTGGTCCAATAAGTAATATCTCTGTCTTAACCGAATTCAGTAGGAGAAAATTATTGGCCATCAAATCTTTTACATTTTTAATGGACAGGTAGGATCTAAACCATCTTAAAGCCTGCCCTTGAATACCTGTATAGTTTTGTAATCGATCTATGAATATATCATGATCTATAGCAGGGGTACTCAAATATAAACTTGAAAGGTCCACTTACCAAATTTCCATTCAGTCCGAGGTCCGGAAAAGTGATGGTCAAACTCCAAATAGAGAACTCCAACAAAAAAAAGGCAATCCCCAAAACTTTCGAACTACACACAAAAAACGACATGGTAGGCCTTTTAGTGTGAAAGGTGACACCTTCTTTGTGCCACCAGTTGTTTAAACTTGGACATAAAAGGTGTGAGGGCCAGGCGGAGGCACTGATGTAAGTGTTCATTGGTGAGTGTGCGGTATGCGTTTTTCACCATGTTCATGGTTGAAAAGGCAGATTCACAGCAGTACGTTGAGGGAAACATGGTGAGAATTTGAAGGGCCATCTTCTGCAGGAGAGGAACACCTGCTGCAGTAACCATCTTCGTCCAGAAGGTGACAGGGTCACAGCGAGATTCCTGCAGTGCTAGGTTTTCTTGGAGATCAATTAGCTCTGTTTGCAGAGAAGCAGCATTGGCCCATGGGAAGACTTTCGTGGCTTCAGTTGAGAATTCTGCAATATTTTTTGACAAGAAATGGATTTTCGATGCACAACAAGACTTGTTTTCCCAGAGGGAAATCTTCAAAGCGAGTTTGGAAATTTTTAATCAGCTTTTCCAGGAATTCAGCATAATTGTGATGGTGATGTTTTCCTGCAGTCTGATCCAAAAGTCTTGGGAAGTGAAGCAGGTTCTGCTGTAAGTCACATTTGAACACCTCCAGCTTCCTCTGGAAAGCATGGACAGCTGACATGAGGTCACACGCTGTGCTGTTTTTGCCTTTATATTAAGGTCATTGAGATGGGAAGTAATGTAAGTTAGAAAATCAAAAACTTCCATTTCCTCTTTATTCTTAATGAAATCCACAAACGGTTTGGCTTTTGCACTCTTCTGATTCAACAGAAATGTCTCCAGCTCTTTCCGCAGTGCCCAAAACTGCTCCAGTACCTTGCCTTTACTAAGCCACCGGACATTGTTGTGAAGGAGCAAATCATCAAATGTTGCATTCACCTCTATTAGAAATGAACGCAACAAATGATGTTGCAGAGCAGAGGATGCTCTCAGATAGTTGACAAGTTTCATGACTGTTGTCATTACTTCTGAGTACCTTTCTCCAAGGCTGGCACACAAACCCATCTGGTGAATCATGCAGTGGTATGCCATGAGGTCAGGGTGGTGAGTTCTCAAGCGTCACACTAATCCCCTCTCTCTCCCAATCATACATGGCGCGCCATCATTAGCAATGGAAACAACATGCTTCAGGTCCAGGGCCGCATTAAGACCGCACTGGGCCCCGGGGCTATACTAGAAAGTGGGCCAATTTAGTCCCAAGGAGTATTGAAATAGTACACTTACAAGTATACTACTAGTGCACTGATAGTTGTATACTTAATACATAAAGTATACTTAAAAATATACGTGAACTTTACTTAAGTATATTTAATAAAATAAACTTGAAGTATACTTCTTTTTGGTAAGGGATCTCATAGTGTCAGTGCAGATAAACATGATATTACCGAATATTTATTGTCTTTTGATATATACTATTAAAAAAATGCCACAATTGCACAATATTACTAGACAAACAAAAGTAGGCCCTACAGTACATTAATTTGGGGTGTATTACATTTTAAATGCAAGACACCACACAACTTAAGAAATATGCATAGCATAGCATTTGTGCATCCCCATAGGAAATCAAATCATAGTGAGATATGAATTAAAAAAAAAAAAGATCTAAATATGAATTAAATTAAATATTTCTTCTTCTAAACCTAAACTTTCTAAACATATTTATGGCTATGTAGCCTATACTCCTACTGTTTATTAACAATTATTCTGATACTTACATTTTTGTAGGGGTTTGTCCTTTCGTATTTCACTGCAATTGCATACAAGTCAACGTGTAGAGTAAATAAAGACTGAATTTTCATTTTGGGGTGAACTATCCCTTTAAATTTAACCAGTGCAACCATGTTGTCACAATTCTTCGACACAAAGGTAAAGTACATTTTATTTTTCAACTATTATTTTTTAACTAACCAATTTTTTATTGGCATACATACACTTAAACTCCCTGCATCTGTAAAGGGAGTGGATCTGCCATCCCTTCCCCCATCACCACCACCACCATCATCATCATCATCACCGCCGCACCAGTGAACACCAGGCTCGGTACATCAGTTCACCGTGATGGCAAATGAATTCCCAAAAAACAGAGAAGCAACTGCCAACTCACGCCATGCCAACCTCACGTCGTCTCTAGACCTGAGCACGTCCCTAGATCACAGTGTGCAGACGCGGATCTTTAAAATCATTGTCATCGGAGACTCAAATGTGGGCAAGACCTGTTTAGCCTTCCGCTTCACCGGCGGAGCCTTCCCCTGTAAGACTGAAGCCACCATCGGCGTGGATTTCAGGGAGAAAGCCGTGGAGATCGAGGGCGAGAAAATAAAGGTGGGATTTATTGTTGGGGTTGGTCCTGTCACGAAGGCCGATATCTCGTATCACGACTGTATTGTGTGTTTCAGTGGAAGTGTGACAGCAACATCACGAGGAAGCTCAATGTTACATGCCGAGTAATCACATTAATGACCCTTTCCGATCGCATGTTGCGTCTAATAGGCGTAGTTTCTTTCAAGACGAATCCAAAATACGTGTCATAATGTCTGATGATTATCTACTGTCGCTTGTCATATCAACATAAGGTGGATTTCAAAAGCTTATAAACCGTTTAGACCATCTAGAAACTAACACAGCTACATGTAATCTTAAATAAACTAGATTGTTCAGTACAGATTTTATGGTATTGTTCACCAATACAATAGTCTTATATTTTCTTTTTTTTTTCTTTTTTTTATTATTCATACAACACAATACAGTAGATTGGTGAAAAGAACATAATATGCATGCATAGATAACACATTATTTATCTATATCTATCTGTGTGTGTATATATGTTTGTGATTTGAAATCAGTCAGCTGAGTTCATTTAACCCTTTAATATATAATTTATTAAATCACAATCGTAATGTTTCTTTATGTTTTATGATGAGTAAAGTTCAAAGCTATGACCCATAGTCATTTGGATTTAACCTTGAATAGTTAAAAAAAGGCTTTTTAAAGATGTTCAAAGTAGATTTATTTATTGTCATTCTAATCAGTTTCTTTCTGGTGGATCAGTTTTCTCATTTAATTTCTCTGCAACCTTGAAATTTGTTGTTTGTCTTGTTTCTTCTCTAACAGGTACAAGTATGGGACACAGCGGGCCAGGAGCGCTTTCGGAAGAGCATGGTGGAGCACTACTACCGCAATGTGCATGCTGTCGTATTTGTATACGACGTCACAAAAATGGCCTCATTCCAGAATCTAAAGACCTGGATTCAGGAGTGCAACGGGCACAGGGTGTCATCCTCGGTGCCTCGTGTTCTGGTGGGTAACAAATGTGACCTAGTTGACCAGATCCAGGTCCCTTCCAACACTGCCCTCAAGTTTGCCGATGCCCATAGCATGCTACTGTTTGAAACATCAGCCAAAGATCCCAAGGAGAGCCAGAATGTGGACTCCATTTTCATGTGCCTGGCGTGTCGTCTAAAAGCCCAAAAGTCCCTGATCTACAGAGACGTGGAGAGAGAAGACGGCAGAGTGAGGCTGACACATCAGCCCGACCCTAAGAGTAACTGCCCGTGTTGAGGACCTTAAACTGTGAAATTATTAAGATTGATAATTCACAATGCAAGGATGTGCCTGCAACTAATTTTAGTTACATTATGACCGCTGCTCCATGAACTGTTTGTTTTTTGAGTGTGCTTATCTATCATGTTCTTTTTTTCAATTACACCATCACTAAAAAGGCAAATCCCACAAAACCTGTCAAGAACATGTTCAAGTCATCTCAAAATCAAAAGAAAGAAATGAGAAATGACATTTTGCTGACAGAAAATGATGCCTATTAATGACAATTAAGCACACTTTCCCCATTACTGCAATGAAAATCATTACCGTAATGCAAAATATTTATATATATGTACTTCCTTTCATTTATGCTGATTTAAATAAAAAAATTGTATTACAGTAGTGAAACTCTAATGACAATCAGTTTTAAAAACATCTAAACTCATCCATTAAAATTAAAACAGCCAAAAGCATTATTTTGAGATTTTTGGTGTTGAATTTCCATTAAAAAATGTCAAAGTGCTAAAAATCACTGATGGCCCTATATGTTTCATTTTATTAAAGGGGTCATATGATGTTGCTAAAAAGAACATTATTTTGTGTATTTGGTGTAATGAAATGTGTTTATGCAGTTTAAGGTTCAAAAAACACATTATTTTCCACATACTGTACATTATTGTTTCTCCTCTATGCCCCGCCTTTCTGAAACACGTCGATTTTTACAAAGCTCATCGGTCTACATAGTCTACTCTCCCAAGATCAGGAAACAGTCCTCCATAAAATGTGCTGCACACATCTGAATATTTGGGTTGAAGTGTTCTGGAACAGTGTTGTAAATACAACTTAACCACTGATTTCTAGTCGTGTCCTCTTTTGGAAGACCAAACAAAGTAGTTTCGCTTTCACAACGAAACACAGCGTCACACACCGCGGCCTTGAGTGAGGAAATATTTCCACATAGTGACGTAGACATGTGGGGGTGTGTTAGAACGAGGCGTTTTAGGAGGGCGTGGCTGACTCTTAACTTTTATAAAGAATATCTCTTTGGATTTGAGACTTTAGTGTTTGCAACTTTACAGATCTTCGTTATGCACCAAGAGCTTGTAACACTCCAAAGAGAAAGGAACAATTGAAATCGTATAATATGACCCCTTTAATCAAAAAAAATAATGCAACCTGGACATGTTTACACAAGATTTCACCCATGTGTAACAGATATATTTTAAATCCCTCATGCTTAATTCTGGGCACACTTTACCACTTAAGTAAGTAATCTTTAAAGGTCTGAAGTAACGTGACATTTGTTGGATTTACAGTAATTTGTTTCTGTCACACATTTGTTTGGGTTCATCCATCAGCATACAATCAAGTTAAGATCCCGTTTAGTGGATTAAAATATAACATCTCCAACATAATTGGCTGAAGGTCTTAATAGCCTTGTGATTACTCGCTGCTAAAAAAAATTCTAATATTTCTTCCTCACTAAGTGCATGGATACATTTGAAACCCGTTCAAATTATGAAACTATTAAAACATATTCATGTTTGATGATTAGCATTAAGTAGTGACCCAAATGTTAATGTAATCTGATAACACTTGCTCATAATTCAACTCGTGTTTATTTCCAAGCACCTTGGAAAAGAGTGTAACTAAGCTTTATGTAGCATCGCAGTATTTCACCAGCTTAAGGTGGTTCTTCCAAATGCATAAACGCTCAAATATATACAAAAGCAAGGTTCAAACAGGCCAGTGGTTGTTACATTTTTATTCAAAAGAACCAGAAAATAATGATTTTAACTTGACATGAGTTTCTGTGGAAGGGGTTGCTGATAATGTGGAAATGCTGATTATGGGATGCGCGAGTGCAGTTTGGTGCCCCTGTGATTGTTTTTGTTTTGATTTTGTGTAACCTCTATCCACTGCTTATTCTGTTGTTTCCGTTCTACAGGAGAAGTTGCAGTTTTCTGTGTGGTTTCAAATGCTTTCAGATTCATAGGCGCATTCTCTGGTTTCAACAGTGCTAGCCTTATATCTGCTGAAGAGATTGAAGCCTTATGATTTGTCTTGTTTTGTGCCCTTGTATGCTGTGTGACGATGATTTTGAGCACCAAATCTCAAATATCCCGAAGCACTGAATGTTTTATTAGCTGGGAAATGCTTTAAAACATTAACAGTTATTGGAGTTCATGTTTTAGAGAAGAAAAAAAAAAGCATAGAAGCTTTTTGAACTGATGAAGTGATTTTCCAAATGTACAACACAATGCTGTTAATTATTATTTATGCTGAAAAGAGCTTAAATAAACTATTTATAAACTAAGCGCGCTGCATTTGTAAAATCCTATTCAGCAGAAATTGTTCATTGATTAATTAAGGCAAGTATTAATAGAGCACGCAACAATAATCATCCTGCTGTCATAAATAAATATAGAAATTTACAATGAACAAAGAGGAGTTAAACATGGATTTTTTGAATGTAGAAGGGCTCATTTTTCACTGTACTAAATATAAACCAGTGCAAAAAGACAAAATAAATCTTCCCTAGAGTGCTTATGCAATCAGTTTTATGTTCACATAAATACAGGCTGTGGAATATTAGACTGCTACACACATTCACAGGCCATACATTTATACTTTAGTCAAAAGTGCCTAGGGTTAAGATATACTCTCAGTGTCTGATGAGAATTACAAAACATTTAGTATTTATTGCATTTTAGAGGCATCAGTTAAGGTATTTGCATACCTATTGACTAATGTGTTCTAGAAATATGTTTGAATGTCATATTTTAAAGTTAAACTCATAATAATTACATTTGCTGCCTCTAACTGCGAAAGCTATGTATTACAAGTACAAGATGCTGCAACTCATAATCATGAAAATTCACAGAAAAAGCCTAATTAGCAGACAAATTCATATACACATTCTCATATACAAGATCATTAGCTGAGGACAGATGGGCTATAAACATTAGTTTTTCTCCACATAGCTTTTTGCATATACAGTCAGACGGGTATATTAACGGCCCTGCTGCTGTTTACTGCGCTAACCGTGAGGGATATTTATGTGGGCCGCAGCAGCGTGACTCAACAGGACAGCACTGGACCCGACCTGCACACACAGAGACAGAACAAACACACTTTGTACACGGGTCCGGTTCTCAAGTTCCAGTTCTGGTGAGAAACTCCACAGACGCTGATGTTATTCAGTGGTTTTACTGTCTGTTTAAAGCCCACAGGGGATGCTAAGCTAATACGGCTAACGTAGCACGCCTGAATGTGTTAGAATAATACATATTATAATATTTAAGTTGATAAATGTACATTAAAATAACTATATCGTGGGTAATAAATTCATTTGCATTATAAGTGGAATGAATTGAAATCAATTGGACCATTTTTCTGTCATGAGAGGAATGTAAAAAAACGCCCGAATTTAATTTACCTTGTTAATGTATTCATAAGACAACTTTTTTTTCCCAACACATTCGTTTTTATTTATGTAACGTTACGTGACTAACATCTTTGCTGCGAAAACTGCTCAGGATATCTTGCATTCATGTGTCTAATTGAAATGTGTCGATTTGAGCAGGTTATTGTAACTCTGCTTAAAGCTCGAGTGAGATTAACCGTACATTGCCCTTTAAGAACACAACATACCGAAGACAATAGTTCAGAGGGACTTATTAGACGTAGACTGAATATTTAAAATCTTTCTTTTCTGAATGAATAGAACTGTGGTTTAATGTTATCCAAGTGAGAGTGGTTTTAAATAATTTTGTAGCGTTTTTTCTCAGATGTAGTACATATTACTGAGTAAACCTATTTCAATCAATACTGTGCTAGTGACTTGTAACCTAGTTCAAGCAATTGTAAATACATTTTTATATTTAACATTGAGGTCAAAAAATAAATAAACGTGCGTGGATATAGTATGCTTTTATAAACTAGGTTGAGTATTCATTTCATATAGACTTGTGTTTGTGGTTGTCATATCAATGACTATTTCTAAAATGATTTATCACCGTCATTAACTGTGTGTTTGTTTTCAGTATATCCTGAGGGTACAGTAAGGTGTTCCAGGAGTACTTCCGGTCCATCAGCCAGCTGTACCCGGACATCCGAATCGAGGGAGAGAATTACCCTCCCAAACCCATCAACAAGTGAGTGTGTTCTTCCAGATGTTGTGGAATCGGCCCTCTGTCAGACAGTGGTTTAGTCCTGACTAGGGCTGTGCAATATATCGAAATATCGCAAATGTGCATATCGCCACAGCTTGCAATATTTGGGGCCATGAACAAAAGACAGAGAAAATCACTCACTGCTCTTACCTAAATAACTTTTGTAGCTTAAATAAGAATCAGTGCGTATTGAATTCAAAGAGTAAATACTAAGCAGTGTTTTATGTTTCCTTTTTATTATTCAGTTCCTAAACTCATATTAAAATGATTACACTAATGTTAAAATGACATTTTTATGTAATGCTCGAGTAAAACACATACCGTTCACTTTCAGAAGTTGTTGTAGGGGTGCTTTCTCATTATTTAATGAGTTATCGCATATCGCATTTTTCTTCAATATCGCACAGCCCTAGTCCTGACTTTAACTTGTCATGTGTCTTCCTCTACAGATACACTGGAAATTTCATCTCCTACTTCAAACTGCTTGCCATCACCTTGATTGTGACCGGACAAAATCCTTTCCAAATGTTTGGAGTGAACACTCCAAGAATATGGTCCTGGGGACAGGAGAATAAGGTAAAGTTGGTGTAGAAGTGCTTGGACTCTAACCTGATTTTATAATGGAGATTAGGCTGAAGATAAACGTACACTGTGACTGTGTCGTAGTTGAACTGACGCAAATCCTTTTTTGAGGAATGAGCAGCATTTCAGAGCCATAGCCGTGTCATTGAGTGTGAAGGGCATGCCTGGAATTGGGGGAATGTGTATGGTGACGTAGTGATTGTAAACACCTGTGTTAAAGACGTAAAATCAAAATTGACTGTATTTGCAATTCTAAGGAGACCCCAGTTGTGATTAAATTGAAGTAGCATCAGATTTTTTCTTCTGTATCGAGTGAAACAGACTCTTAAGAAGAGAGAAATACATTGCAAAACTGCATTTTCGCCACTGTCTGCATGTTGTTTTTAATAACCTGGAAGAAAATGTCTTATATTTGATTGGGTATGTTTTGCAGATATTCTCCTGCCTCATGGCATTCTTCCTTAGTAACATGTTGGAGACCCATTTTCTCTCGACAGGAGCTTTTGAGATTTCATTGAATGGTAATGTCATTTGGATGGCCACTACAGTTGGGGGAAAAAAATGAAAGTATGTGAACATTGTATGTATGTCAAAGAAACATCACTATTTCTCTCTGGTTTATTAGATGTACCAATTTGGTCCAAGTTGCAATCAGGATATGTGCCCAGCGTTCAGGAGCTTTTCCA